TGTTGGCTAATATTCTTATCACTGTGGTTACTTCAAATAGTTTTTTAGCAGCTGCTGCTCCAGCTGTTGGAAGCTTTGAAAAAACAAAGCTTCCAACAGGTAAGGCCTGCTTCAGTGCAGCATCCCCATACTGTCTGGCTATATGTCTCATTAGACACCAGCCTCCTGTCATGGGTGTAACTGTCAGTGGGTTGGCTGGAAGGATGAGTTCACAGATGTAACTAAAGACAATACAGAGGTGTTTGCATTGTGCTAGGGATAACAAGAAACACAGTAAGATATTCTTAGGTGCAGTTAACTCTCACAGCCCTAACAAAGAAGCTGGCTTGCCAATAAAGCTGCTTTCATTTTAATAAACCCTTTTTGTTTATTAATAATATGTATTTTAATCATTTAATTATTTTCAATATTTTAATAATATAATTATCTAATTACCTTTACTCTAAAATATCACTTAATAATTCATTTCTATTTTGTGTCTCAAAGCTGTGTGCTTTACAGCAGACCTTGCCATCAAACTGAATTCAACTAGAGGTCTGTAGTTTCACTAAATGCAAGGCTACCTTTTGGGGTAAACATATGTAAGAAGGGCATCTGGGTGTGAACCCAGCCAGACTGTAGATATGTAGGTACTGTTTTACACGTGCCATTTAAGATCATAACACTTCTTTCTTTTTTTCTAACAAACCCAAGTTCAAAGGCAGATATCATTGGATGCCATTGTAGATGATGAACAAGAAAGGATCCTGACATTATTATCAGTGTTTGACAAGGCATGAAAAAGTGCTGGTCCGGCAGCAGACCCTAAAATCAGTGGAATCAAAGGTAAATGCCAGAAAGTGTTTTCTCAAAAAGAGATTTGCATATCTGCTACTGGTTTTGCAAAGATTTTATATATCTGATTCTGTCTGCCTTCCCCTACATAAGAATCCTGTAATAAAAAGGGTCAGGGACCTTTCTGAATGGGGTAAGGGTCTTCTGTATTTATTTGATTGTTGTTTTAAGTGTATTTTTCTAAGGAAAGGATATGACTGAGTTAAGAGACAGACTGTATGTTTGTCTGTGTGTCTGTCTGTTTGTTGTAGAAGGACTTTGGGGAAAGAGGAGGTGGAACAAGGAACATGAAGGAAGCTTCATCCTACATATATTCTCTAGCAAAATATTTTTATTCTAAGGAATCAATCTCTTTATAAAAAGAAATGTTTACACTGATATGTTTCAAAGACTCCCCACCAGAAAGTCTTACAAGCATGCAAGCATTCAGTCTGTTGCAGATGCTTCTCTACGATGAAATTCAAAATGGAAGAGAAGAGCAAACTATGAAAAACTTACTGCAAGCTGTATGTCATTGTAGATGGGTTTCGTGTCATTTTAATGACACCTCTTTTGTTAGTTCCGTATGTTTTACTTCTAATACAACTTGCCCTATCATTCAATGCTAGTGACACAGCATGACTCAAATACTGAAGAGAGAATAATATCTGCAGGGCAGAGGTCACATTTTAACATGACTAGAAGCAAAAATCCACCCAGGCAGGTGGAGGGCTTTAAACAAGAGACAAAGCCACAAGCCACAGTATTTCCATTGACATCTATTTGGATCAGTCATCTTTTGCTTTTTATCTTAGAGAATTAGAGATTATATTTAGAGATTCAATAATTTCTCTTACTGACACTTGTAAGTCATGTTCTAGTTTCAGAAGGCGAATGCTTTGTAGCTTGATTCATGTATGCCATGGTGTCATGCTACAAATTACTGTTTCCTCAATCCATTCTGGTTTGTCGGATCTACCCTCTGCCTGGTTCAGATGTTAAGCATGGGTTCCACTTCAACCGTAAGCTTTGTGTGAATCCAATCAATACCTGTTCATAGTCCTCTCATAAAAATTTTCAACAAAGTAATAAGGAACACTTTTCAACTTAAGGAGAAGATTGGGCAAGGAGGAATCGTTTTAACCTGAGATAGGGGAGGTTTAGGTTAGATATTAGGAGGAAGTTTTTCACACAGAGGGTGGTGAGGCACTGGAACAGGTTGCCCAAGGAGGCTGTGGATGCCCCATCCCTGGAGGCATTCAAGGCCAGGCTGGATGTGGCTCTGGGCAGCCTGGGCTGCTGGTTGGTGACCCTGCACACAGCAGGGGGTTGAAACTGGATGATCATTGTGGTCCTTTTCAACCCAGGCCATTCTGTGACTCTATGATTCTATGATTACCAAATTGAATCAGATCTGACTTTACATTAATGAAGAACTGCACATCTCCCCATGTACTTATAACAAGGTCACTCTCAGGAAAGTTCTCCCCTGCCTGGTTGTGAAGTGTGAGAGACCTAATTTCATCAGTTTGCCTCACATGTCCTTGGACAAGAAACAATGTCTTTGTGCCACTTTCAGTTCTGTGGGTATGAGATGAGCGTAACAGCCTTCCATTTGTGACAAGGGCTCATGATCCCTTTTTATGCACACTGAGCATGCTTCAGCCCTGCCTGAAGCCACGCTTGGGCAGAATCTCCTGAATCTTCTTAAAGTAGGGTTCAAGCACAGCAGGAGATGTTTACCTCACTTACTAAGCACACCGTAGGGCCAGTGAACTTGTGGTTCCTCTGTGTTTCTGTAGGAGCCAACTGCAGGAATATGGGCAACAGCTGTAGCTGCTCTCAACTCTGCAGCAGACACAGTGGAAACCTGATTAGGAATTGCCACCCAACCAGCTGTGTTTCAGCAGACTGACAGTTTTATCAGTTCTCTGATGCAGTTATCTGAGTGTGCTTTTGCTACTGCATTTCTTAAGGCATGTACTTGATCTAGAATGAAATAGTTGAAGGAGGGAGGGAGGAGGTGGGGAGAGATCTATGGTTTAGTTCAAATTACATCCACAGTGATCTGAGGTTTTTCAGAGGAGATTTTGCTAACGCCAGCAGAGAAGTCACCTTTAGGAGGTTGCCTATGGATGTAGTGGTAGTACTTTCCATCCACACAAGATACTGCAGTCAGTATTGTTACTGCATGGACACATCCTTGTCATCTTGTGGCCCATTAGCTCAGGCATCTTTATGCAGAGAGGCTTGTAACACTCTTATCTGCTACAGCATGGTTACATACGAGGCATACAGAGCTTTTACACTGTGTCTGAGCAGTGGGATGCATAGCATCCTTCATACAACATGTGCAAGGTCAAACTCCTTGCAATCTTTCCTGTGAGCATAGCATAAGAGGCAAAAAAGTAGCAGAGTTTTCATCATCAGGAAAAGCTTTTCTTCGCTTAGTGAAGAGAACTGAGTGGTTTGGTACAGGTCCTAATGTTTTGAAAAGAAAAGACAACGACAAATTAGATGAAAGCAACTGTATTTTTCAGCAGAAGATACACTTTTGGTTTATAGGTTGTGTTACTTTTTAGTCTTGAGTTGAAATACCAAGGTTTGGTATTCTGTTCTCTTTGCTTTTCTTCCCTTCTCCAACACTTCCATCTCTTATTTTTCCCCTTTCATCGCTGAAAATAAATAAATAAATAAATAAATGGGAATGATAAAGAGAAGAAACCCAAGAAAAACAATTGCCTTCAGCTTTCAAAAGAAATGTTTATTTTGATTTCAGTTCATTGGTTTAATCTAAAAGTTGGACAAATTTCAGATTTTGAAACAAAACTCTGATTTCCATCAGTTCATTTCCAGACGAGATTTTTCTGTTTGCATTTTGCTAGTCAATAAAAACTTAATCAGAAAGAGTCAGATTTAGGTCTCCAGGAATCCAAAATCTTCGCTTCTTTGCAGTTCAGAAATGAAGGAAAACTGAGTGCTGATGTGAGCCATCACTTAGGGAATCCAGAAGTTTGCTTTACCCCATAGCTCAGAAGCAGGACATAAGTCTGGCCTTCTGTCTCATAAGAAAACTAAGGGTAGCTCAGGAATATGGTGCCATTTAGTACTGCTGACTAGAGCACGTAGTAGAGAGCCATGAGGCAAATCTCTGCTCTTCCATCTCTGCCAGCTATCCAGAATAGCTCGCCAGGAAATTCAGTTTTTAGGGCAGCATATCCCATGTGTGATCAGTAAAGTCATGGTGAGTGTTCTTTGAGCAGCTTTGAAGGGTCCACAGGGAGCATCTGTGAGGCCAAGAGTGACTGAGCAACAGCTGCACTCGTGGTGGCCACTTTAGAGGAAAGTTTACTTACGAAGTCAAGGCTCAGCCTAGTCAAGGCTCTACCCTGTTTTTGATAGCTTTTGTTGATTTGACCTTTTGGGGGTCATGCCTCACCTCACCACTTGATTACTGGTTCTTGACAGCTTAGAAATAACCAGCGGGTGTGGCTTTTAAGCTAAACTTCAACCAGCTGTAAGGAGCTCATGGGATTTAGATATTTGCTTATACTCAAACAAATAGCATGTTGATACCGACGATGGATACCAACTTGCTTTCATGAGGTTTCATTTTTCAGTGCTTTGAAGCTATTTCAAAAATGAAATGCATTGGGGGAAATATGTTACAGTTAATTACCATGTATTTGATTTTATTCCAGCATGCTTTTGGAATTACTGCATTGAGCACAAGTAGTATTTAACCTTCAAGTTGATGGGTCATTCTGAAGACTATCTGAGATACTGAAGCTGACAAAAAAAAAGTCTTCAAACCCGAAGAACTTTCTACACAGGTGATAGAAGAAAAAATAATTCACTTTCTGAGCAGATATTCTTTGAATATAGCAGATGTTTAAAGGGGAAATACAGACATTGGTATTTAAAACGATAACAATAAAAACAAATTTTATACAAGCAATGTTACAGAGAAGACTTCTTGTGCTCGTAAGCATTTGGAAATCAGTAGCTCTGTCTGCACAGGCATGCCTTAAAATAATTGGACATAATCTCTGCTTTTACATGGAGTCAAGCACTGCAAATCTGTATCTAGGTATTACACCCTGTCAAGGCTGCTCGGTCAGGTGGTGATATAATTAACAACACAACTTGCTTTCTCTCTCCCTTTATATCATATTATTTGTTCTCCAGTAAATTTAAAAGTATTTCCATGGTCTTTTAAAAATAGAGCAACTCAAAGGTGGACAACAGCTTTTCCTTAAACATGTTCAGGGGGTGGAATTAGACATTCAAAACGTCATAGGTATGGCTCCACACACTGCAGGACTATGCAAGCACTTTAGCTCTTCCTATCCTAGGCAAATGAAGTAACTGCAGTTTGCTGACACACTGGGTCATTTCTAGAACTTCTCTATGCACATCTCTTCCCTGTGTTGCTTGAAATATGCAAATATCAATCAAAATTTGCTGATTTAGATAGCAACGTTTGTGAAGACAGCAACCCATGGTGGAGAGCTGGAGCCACAAACTTCTGCATGGGTATGAGCAGTAAGGGAACCATCAAAACCTCCTCTTTCCCAGACCACACTGTTAAAACATGGCCAGTCCCCAGCAGAGGGAATGTGCTTTGTGCTAGGTGGCCCCAAGGTCAGGGATTACGCACTGACCCTTTGTATTTTTATTCAGCAGTAAGGAGCACGGTCTGTGTGCATTGCTTCCCAGATCCAACTGCAGGTTTGAGACACCATTCCTCCAAAACAAACCAAAGTTGGGTTAAATCTTGCCTGCTGAAATCCAGGCCACTGCTGCAAAGCATCTTTGCCAGGAAATTACTATGGAAATAAAGACAGAACACTGCTCAAAATTACTTGTGGATTTGTATATTTTCTATTTAAATTTGTAAGGCATGTGAAAAGAGTATACAGATTTTTATTTTATATATTATTATATATTCAAGTACGTATTTGAAAATACAAAGTAACAGTTAGTAAGAAATGAAGAGTGACTGCTCAGCTACCAACCCCAATGAGTAACCTCACAACAGAGGCTGTAAGGGAAAGGTGTTGTGCCTGTTTTCTCTGCAGAGAAGCTAGAGAAACTAAAATTGCGTGTTTAACACTGCTTACAAATAATCATGCTAGGACATCTGCAAAAGAACTGCGTAGTGTGTAAGAGGAAGCCACAGACACCATACACCCAACACCTACTATTACCCTAAGTAATGCATTGTTAGAAAGCAAGCCTATGTTTAACTCAGGCAAAGACGAATGGCTATTCTGTATCAGTCTTTGTATGGATGTAGGTGCTACAAAAGCTATTTTTAGCTGTTTCCATGTCTATTTTGTACATACAGGCAAAACGCATCAGAAGGAAACTTCCAGATGACCCTATGACTAAACCACTGCACCCTCTGCTCCTAGGTGCTTGCTGAGGACCTGCTCAGCAAAAAGCAGCCATGGATGTGACTTTTCAGAGTTGACACCTCTCCAACAGCACGTTCCATGAAGCCCAGGGAATATCTGTTAGTAGTACTGTGAACACAGGGTCATGCCAGCCTGGAGAGGTTCATCTCATCCATCCCCCAGGCAGGAGCTATGCCTCTGTTGTCCTCAGTGGGACAACGCCTGGACATCTGGAAAGCTCTCAGCAAAGAAGTCCTTGTGACTGCTTGGGAAAATGCAAACCCTGCAAGTAAATCCAGAAAGGGAAGCATAAAAGGACAACTGCTTTCTTAAACCCTCCTCTTTGCTTTCCAAAACCAAATGGGAGTCACAAAAGGATGACAGAGGGATTCTGCACCAGTAACAGGGGGCAGATGTTCACCCATTTATTGAGTCTGCAGCGACAACCAAGCCTCTGCCTCCTCCCTTGTCAGATATTTGTTATCAAATAATCCACGGGCCAGTGACAGTCTGCATTCCTCTCCTTGTCTGAAGGAAGCTGGATGGGTTATGCAGCCCTGAGAGAGGAGAAGGCGGGATCTTTCTAATTACTTTCTTTCATACCAAAGACAGTTCATGCAACGCGAGGACAAGCTGTTCTTCACTGACCTGCCCTGCAGGTCTCTAGCACAGAGGAGAGGGCTTCTGGGAAGCCAGGTGTGGTCCCACCTCCAGTCTGGCTTCTCTCCTGGATTAACCAGGGTACTGCATGCGTGCCAACTGTTGGCATGGGGCCGCCGAGGCCTGGGGAGAAGCAAGCAGAAACCTTCCCGGGAACTGCGAAATTTGGCAACAGCTGTGAAACACACATCAGAGGCAGCAGTAATGACAGGTTACATGTGTGTTAGGAACAGGGCTATTTCTTCGCTAAATTCAGTCATTTAGCGTGTCGCTAGTCTGTAATATTGCTATAATTGTGACCTATGCTGGTTCTCTAACTTCAGCAAAAGCCTGAGTACTGACTGATGCTTTTAACTTGGAGTGCATGACACACATTCCTGTGTGTGTACATCTGTACAGACACAGATGCACATACATCATTTAAGAACAAGCAAACAGTGCTACACAGTTATTACAAAAGAAGGATTGGCCAATAACAGAAGTTAAAATTGCACTGCAGAATGCGTGCTGGCTTTTTTTTGTTTCCATATTGGCTGGTGCCCGTAAAATCTCAGAAGTATAAAAGAAGGGAAACATCTTCCATTTACTTCATTCTCTTTGCAACATCCAAATATGCATACTCGATTTCTTGATCAGCAGGACAAGTGTTTGTAAATTCATCTCTTGCATATGCATTATTCAAGTATCTTGAAATCCCCGTCATTTCGGGTGGGAAATCAAAATTTCTGTATTTCTTTGCAACAACCTTTTTATAAAGAAAATAAAAGAAAAATTGTATTACACATACAGAATCATAGAATCATAACATGGCTTGGGTTGGAAGGGACCCCAAGGATCATCAAGCTCCACCCCCCCTGCTGCAGGGAGGGCAATTAACCTCCATATCTAATACTAGACAAGGTTGCCAACAGCCCCATCCAACCTGGTCTTGAACACCTCCAGGGATGGGGCATCCACAGCCTCTCTGGGCAGCCTGTTCCAGCACTTCACCACTTTCTCTGTGAAGAACTTCCCCCTGATATCCAACCTAAATCTTCCCTCCTTCAACTTAAAGCCATTTCCCCTTGTCCTGCCATTATCTATCCTTGTAAAAAGTTGACTCCCCTTCTGTTTGTAGGCTCCCTTTAGGTAGTGAAAGGCTGCACTGAGGTCACCCTGCAGCCTTCTCTTCTCCAGGCTAAACAAGCCCAGGGATATGGATTAAAGGTGAGAGAGATGGTCAAATTTCAGCAATCGCTGCTTTCTTCATTTAGCAAGAGCAAGATCATTTAATCTTATCGGTCTGTGGCACTTTGCATGTGAAACGCAAATAGAAATATTTCTCTACAGCACTGAATATAGTACCCATTTAATATTTGTGAGAGGCGTAGAGAAAGTAGTCAAATAGTAGTCCAAATATGAAACCAGATATTCCAGCTCCAGCTGTCAATGTGAAGATCTGCCTAGCTGTGCTGCACTGCAATGGCCTTGTGCGTTAGCACTCCTTGTCCATACACAGCTACTGTGTGGCTTAAAAAAGACAGACTTCTTCTGCCTTTTAGAAAAGAGGCTGAGCTTCTAGGCTGCCCTTCTCTTCAGGAGGCTGAAAAGCAAATGCAAACCTTAATTATGTGGAGCTTTGGTAGGAGGTTGCAATCTGCTAAGGTGAGCTCATCTCCATCCAGGAATTTCCGGCAGGACACAGTGATCTCCTCAGTGCTATAAGCATCAATTTCATCAGGCAAGGGGCTATTTAAATAGTTGTCCAGCTTCCTCAGGGCTTTAAGCAAAGATTTTTCCAGATCTAGGTTAAGACAATAAAAAGATCGTTCAAGCCTGTACCAAGGTCTCTCTGACACCAAGCAGAAAGGCGCCTACTGCATCCTGTCTCCTGGCACCAGCCCAGCTCGCAGATACCCAGCCATGCTAACTCCTGCAATTCCTTTATCCAAAGCTTAAAATGTAATGCTGGGATAAAAGCTCTAAGTAGCTAAAGGGGGTTCTGAGAAAAACCAAACTGGGTCTGTGTTACCAGAAACTGCAGGGCTCAGCAAGGGTTGGCTGGGGTGTTCACAGGGGATGGGGCTGGTGTGCAACGGTGGAGATGGAGCTGTAGGACACAGGAGTTGCATGACTAACTTATATCAGGACAGGTAGAAGGATCGTAGCACCTACTTTCATTAGCATCTTTTCTTGGGTTCTTTATGAATGCAGAGAATTTTGCAAACACATCATTTCCTGCAGAGTTAGACTCAGGGTGCTTCGGTGCAAGTTTGGGATACCTGAGGAGTTGAAAGAATCAAAAAATTATGGATTAGCCTTTACTTTCACCTTCACTAATTACTTCATATATATATCACTGAAACTGAAGTGTTACAATATATGGCTACTCAGGGCTTTCAAAGAGAACCATCCTAAGCTAAAAACCAGTTTCTAAGTGTGAATTTCACCTCTTACCCAAACCACCTGGCTCACCTCCTGCTCCTGGGGCAGATGGGAAATGACTGTTTGTGCTGCAACCATTGCCTGAGCAACCCAGTGCCTCTTCCAAGCTGTCTATGTTGGAAGTGAGGCTAAGTAGAGCCGTGAGGAAGACCAAAGGGAAAAGACCCCACTACCACCAACTGCTGCTCCTCCCAGCCTCCTCGCCTGTCCTGCACATGCACGAGCAAGCTCAGAGTGGCCAGGCCAGTCACTGCTGCTGCTACAGGCAGAGAGGAGGAAAAAGTAGCTGCTCACATAGCGGCTCACATAGTTCGAGTCAAGTTTGGCTGCTTGAACGGGCAGCTGCTGTCCTGGGAAGGAAAAGGTGCCTGCGTGGGGGAATGACACCACTGGCAGAGGATGTGGGGAGAGGTGAGGATTGCTCCTGGGATGAGGACAGGTCTGAAACCCAGCCTGCAGCACACACAGAGATTATCCTACCTAGCCACGCAAAATAAGCTGCAATGGTCTGTGCCCCAGCGCTCCTGCAGTGTGTCAGGCTTCCACTGTTGCTTCTTTCTACTACCTGTTCCCTGAATTATTTGTACAATGTGAGGAAGGAAACCTCAAATAAACACAAGCAAGAGGTCAGGTTTCTGCAGTGGTATGCAGGTTTCTGCATATACTTGTTGCAGGAGGGTGGATTTCATGTCTTGAAAATGATTGTAGTGGTGCAACTATGAACTTGAGGTGAGTGCAAAGAGCACAGCCAGCAGTCAGGGCTAGCCCAGGATATATGCCACACACTGCCAGGCCTCCCCAGTTGGCAATCAGGTTGGAGGCACTGCTCCCAGACACTTTCTCACAACTTGGGCTATGAGCAGGAAGAAAGGACAGCAATGCTGTACCGGGGCGGTGCTAGCTTTTCTTCCAAGAACTCCTCAATCTTATTGACATCAGTTTTGACTTCACCATCAAACGTCATGAAGGGTGGGTTCGTCCCCGGGGCCAGGTTCTGCAGGTCAGCAGGTTTTCTAGAGGGAGAAAAGAGGTTGGGTTAATCACAGTGGTGACAACTCTTTCATCTCCGACAACTTATTGCAATGATCTGCTTCAACTGCACAGTAGAAGGCTACATCTCTTGCAAAAGCACAATGCACCAAGCTTCCTCATGCTGGTGGTGTCAGAATTATCTAGCCCCTCTCTGAATGCACCCTGAAACACTACAATTTCAGGCTTGTGTTACAGAGACCTACTGGAAAACAGATTAAAATCTCAAATGTTTCAAAGAAGTTGATCCACCTCATACCAGTGAACCTGAAAGAGGCACCAGGCGCACAGCCTGTTAGCACAGTGCCAACTTGCAGTGTAAGTAATGTGCACTAACCTGCGTGCGTGCATTTCAAATCAAAGAGACTCATTCTTTTAAATCACCATCATGGTAAAGTTGTTCTAAAAATGAGAACTCCTATTATGATCTCACCTTTTCAAGTCCACAGTTGTGACATTAAATATGACACCCTTTAGCCAAAGGATCATAAAGAGACGCTGCGAGAACGGGCAATTTCCAATACTTTCCCCATCACTGCCAGCCTACAATTACAAAAAAAATAATAATAATAATAAATTTGCATACATGTGAGATAGCAAATTTTGATAGCAGATGTAATAGATACGCAGAGTCCAGACCAGAGTGTTACTCATCCCTAACACATATTTTCATGCAGAATTTCTTTATATCCTTCTCTGAACATGCACATGGATATGATGAAGAATTCTGCCATCTCAGAGATGTATTTTTTCATTAAAATGCATAATGAATATTACCGTAAGTTAGAAAACAAAATTGAAATCACAGCAGTCCTTCCAGAGGAAATAGTCTCCACCTCATTTGTCTTTATGAGCATAAATCTACCTGAGTCACCGCAAGATTAAAACAAGCCTAAATCAGTTTATGATCATAGGAAACAAGAAGAGAAAGATTTACCGGCATAAATCGAGATGTAATGTCTAAGGCACTTAAGGGAATAAACAGAATAAATCAAAAAATTAAAGGGTTTTCAACTAAACAATCGTGGGGGCCCCAGAGGAGGAAGGAAGCTGCCAAGCGGCTGAGCACACCGGTCTCCATGCTTTGCTGAACCGGAGCCTAACGAAGCACAAATATCACATACCTCTGGCTAATGGCTGGGAGAAAGGCACAGGATGGGGGACAACATGTGGGTTTCCATCTTAATGGAACTTGGCCCTGGCCAAGGCATGTAACTGTGCCTCTCATGGTGGTCTTGTTCTGAGCAAACACAAGGCACAGCTCAGCATGGCGGTGCAGCTCTGTTGGATTTTGCGCCCCGCTGCAAGAGCTCAGAGGCCTAGTTTTCAAGCCTGCCACACCATTCTCCTGAAGAGCAGTTTAAGAACTTTGCTTATGTGTAAGGGTACAGAAATAAAAACCCAAGCATGTCATTTACTTACTTAACAGTTCATGAATGTTTGTGGACTACATAAGACAAAACAACATACAGTAATGAAATTAGTTCTGCTTGTTCCATCACCCTCCTCAGTGCCATCAGATGAATCTCAAATGAACTCTCCACCAATGTTCATGGCTGCTGGGTTGCCTGAAGCTCCTTCACCTGTACTAATAGCTCCATGCATGGAAACAAGCACCTGGCCTCAAGCAGGAACAATGCCACAGTGCACAGGCCATGGTTCCCTATGTCAGTGGGGAGGATCCTCCTCCAAACACTGCTGCTTTCTGCTAAGGTATCATGCCAACAATAGGCTTTCTTGGTGAGAAAAAACATGATAGCCTACTGCCTCATGTAGCGTTTCAGCATTTTAGAGATGCTAAGAATAGCTGAGCTGCTGTGTTAAGTAGGAGCTGTTTTCTAAGTGGTAAAAATGAAAGCTGTTGTGGTTTTGCTCTTACTTGGAGAACTGCTTTCCAGCACTGTACAACTTATTTGATCAAAAACTACTGTGCACTTCTTAAGAACGCGACTACACCTGCTGCTAGCATGTGCTTAAAAAAACCCTAAATCTACACCATCTTACCTCACCCTGTCTCTCACATCATGTTTCACCTAGCCACTTCTCCTAGGTAACAGAGATGGGACAAGAAGGAATGGCCTTGAGTTGTGCCAGGTTGGATATTAGGAACCATTTCTTCTCAGTAAGAGCGGTGAGGCAGTGGCACAGGCTGCCCAGGGAGGTGGTGGAATCACTGTCTCTGGAGGTGTTCAAGAGCCGTGTGGATGTGGCACATTTGTTTCAGTTCTGCAGAGCTGGAGGCAAGTGACAGAAAAACTACAAAAGCCCACACAATAGCACAAGCAGTGGTGAAACTTTTCCCTGCTATAGCAGTGATGGGCAGTCTGCAATGACTGGAAGACCCTGGACACTGAATCTGATTTGAAGTTTGACACCATTCTGGCCTGGCATCTCAAAGATACAACAATTTCTTATAGACTCAGGTGAAAGCCTAGAACATTAATATTTTGGCCTACCGAGGAAGCCAGGGTGAATACAGCTAGCTGAAATGACTTCAGATACATCAGCTTGTATTTTGGCCCCTGGGAGACACCTCTGTTCATCGAATCCAGTGAGCCGCAACTCGTAATGGACAAAAAAGCACCAGCGACACATGCCAAAGGCATTTGTTCAAGCTCCAAACAGGGGGTTGGCCACGTTGACTCAAAAATCACGAGTCGAGGTACTGAAATAACTTTATTGCAGTCTATCAAGCAACACGATAGCTGAACCATGCCATCATTGTACGTTAATGTACTTTCCAACAAAGTCAGCGTGGCCTTTTTTATAGCAGGGAGACAGTGGGTCAGTAGCCTTCTTTCCACTACTGCTTACCTTGTAGGAACACAATACAACAGTAAGATTCCATGAGTTAATACCAACAGGATGACAGCATAGCGAGGGGTGCTGCAGCCTCGGAGCAGAACACCCTGCATTTTCCTCCACAGCACTATTCTGGGATGTTTAACTCTGAGCTGGGCTTGGTCTGTGCGCAGGGTTTAATTACACTTCCTGACTGCTGCGCTCTGGGATGACGCAGAGTGAAATCCTAACTCCAGGGAAGTCAGCGGGAGCCTGGCTGTGGATTCAATGGAGGATTGTGTTTCCAGACTGGTTATAACCTTAATAACCAGGCAAATGCTGGTATAATTGCAGGTAATGGCCTGCCCTCCACCTGCAGTTGTTGTGACGCTCTGCTAACCTCCAGATACTGCTAGTGAAGTGGGTGTGTTTGGGGCTGTTCTGCTGCTAAGTAGATGTCTAACCAGAGCCTTGAGTAAATGTCATTTATGTTTTAATTGTGATCAGTCAGGAGGTCAGTGTGCTTCTTCTAGTAATACTGAGATTAATGAGTTCATTAATCAAACAATTAGGACAGCCATTGCTGCAGACAAGAAAACTTTCACGCTGTGTATAGAAGCTTTCTTTCAGAACCTTCAGGGCCCTAGGCAGCAATTGCATATTGTGGCAATATCAACTTACTACAGCTCCCCATAATCCCATAACCATGTGCCATTACTTAACAGGATTATTAGCTGACACTCCCTAATTTCATTCATTTTTCACTGTTCCACACTCTCTTCAGACTTTTTTTGTGGGTTTTCTTTTTGCGTTTGCTTGCTTGTTAATTTGTGTACTAAGTCTTACTGGGAAAGGGAAGAGCTCTCCATATCCTTCTTTCCACTACTGCTTCAGCTCTCAAGTTAAAAGCACCATCACACTCGGTACTCATTTCCCTACACACAAGACCTCATGCATAAGACATCAGAGAGAGTCACAGAAAAACTATACCACCTTGATCTGGCAGCTCTGATTTTCTGAGTAGCCTTTAAAAGATCACTTGCCTCTGCATACTATCCTCAGGGTAACTACTCTACAGAAGAGTCATCTACCGAAGGTCAGTTATAAACCACTAATTTGGGCTCTTTCTGAGCTGCAGTTGCTCTGTCCCTGGAACTGCTGAAAAATTTTGTTTTGTAACAGTTTATGTCCAAATGTCTCAGGAGCTGGGACTTTGAAGGTTCTTCTATTGACCTCAAATGTCCTGTGCCTCCAAAATCTTGATGAGTGGAATTTGTTTTTCCTGGACTTTTTGTTTCCTGATGAAGGTTGAGCACAGAAGAAACAGTTCAGAAGAAGCAGAGCAGACAAGATTTTTTGCTTGTTTTCATATAACTCTATAATCCCTTTGAAGCTACAATAATAATTAAAAAAAGAGAGAGATCAGTGAGCATAACTTTTTTTTTTTCCCTGAAAACTGAACTCCAATTCCATTTTTACTTCAGCACAAGGGAGCTAAGCTTCTCCTTGCCTGTATTTACGCTGGCCAAGAGGCTGGCTTACCCAGCAAGTGGAGCAGAACCACTGTTTACCAGGGCCAGAGACTGGGGCCAGCATCCCACATCCACCCCTGCCCATCCTGCTGGACTGGCTGACTCAGGGAGTCGCAGCTCTCCTGCTCATTTCCACATTTAAACCCCAGCTATCAGACTGGTTCTGTGTGTTCGTCTTTCTCATATCACACTAACAACTCCCCTCTCCTATTTCACAATGCAGTTGGTTTCCCATCAATGAAGAAGAGCTAGGCCCCAAAATACTGGGCCTGGAAAACTACAATAGGTTCATGCACTTGGGCCCAGCATAGGAAGCAACTGTGAGGAGGGTGCAACAGTTGAGAATAGCGACTGTTTCACTTTAATTCCTGGTACAGACTAACTTGCTCTGTACTGGTGGGATTTAGAGTGCGCAGCAGTGCTTTTGCTCTGGGCTGAGCTCTGCTGTGCCAGCCTTGCAGCTGTTCCAAGTAGCAGTGGCATGGCAAGCACAACTCCTGTGGCGGATTGCTCAGCTTCCCATCCTGCTGCATTAGCCAAACAGCCTTGGTGTTGCAGGGCGGCCAAGGAGGAAGAAAAGCAGCTTCCAGTGCTTTCCACTCCCCCTGAGAGGAGGATCCCACTGCCCACCGGTTGACTATGGAGGGCCAAAGCCTGGTCACGGAAGGTTTCATGTTCTTCTACTTACAATCACAGAATGGCTTAGGTTGGAAGGGACCTCGAGGATCATGAAGTTCCAACCTCCCCTGCCATGGGCAGGGTTGCCAACTGCTTGATCAAGCACTAGATCAGGCTGCCCAGGGCCCCATCCAGCCTGGCTTTGAGCCACTCTGCTCAAACCTATTCACACTGACACGCAAGTAGCACTGAAACCACCCATTTTTTCTTTTCTTCCTTACATTGCTTCAGAGCAAGTCAGCTTCTGATATTATTTCACACCATCCTGAACATAAACAACAAACCTCTCAACGTTAGTTTTCTCAGTGCATTTACAGAAGACCTTTAGTGAGAAACCTTCAGCAGCAGTGAAGTCCTAAAGTCTGCCCACAGCTACCCAGACCAAGGGCAGAAGGATGGAGGGAAGCACTGTGACCTCCTCAAACCTTAGCAATAGCTTCTCAGAGGCACTGGGTTAAGCTGCAGTGCAGCATGCTGCTGTAAGTCTAGGAGACAAAGGATCTCTATATAAACATCCATGTTTGTACCTTGAAGGTAAAAATTTATGCACAA